AGGCATTTAGACTATTAAGTTACTTTAAAATAATAGTAAGAAAAATAAGAATAACAGTAACACAACTACTATTTTTTGGCAGGTGTATGTGGTAAGTGCTTTATATGAATTATCCCAATCAATCCTTTTACAACCCTTCAAGATGTTAGTATTGTTTAAAGATGAGGAAACTATTAGCCTTCTTAATAGTAGACAACAGAATCCACTATAGCCAATTTAAGTAGAAAAAGATTCATGAATAGCTATGAAATTGTTGGGAGGGTTAAAGAAAGAGATTCTAGGCTGTATTTTCATGAATGACTCTCACAGTCACACAGTAGAATTAGGCTGCCAAAAAAATTGCTACCTTTGCATTCATGACCAGGAAACTGCCTGCTAAATCATGAAGCTGCTACTTCTTGGAGTCCAGAAAAACAAAATCCTGTTTTGATGTGCAGCAGCCAAATATATGCCCAGTGCTCTACTTGTCTCACTGTGTGACTTGAAACTACGTGACTTAGTTTCAACTAAAATGTTTTTGTGAATGGATTTGTTTAGTGAACCAACAACACATTCAGATTTCGTCAACAAGGAAGTATAGAAAATGCTGTTGTATGTAGCATTTTTGCTTTACTGGAGTGATAGAATGACTGTTGATGTAGTTAGTCCAAAGTGTTCATTACAATAAGGCTCAGAGATTCAATAACATGCTAGTACGTGATGAGTCAGAGTAGGAGGAGATACAAAGTTATAGGACAAAGGATGTGAATACGGGAGGCTATTTGGGGACTCTTAATAAATCTCTCACAAGTAGGAATAGAGAAAACCACTGTGTATCAGAAATGTTATCCAGTGGATTTAAGGAAGTTTTAATGTGAAGGAAAGAGGAGAATCAATGAGCAAATAGATATTGCAAAACTAAGCAATAGGAAAATAGTATCACTAAGAAGAATTAGGTAACTGAAAGAATGCTTGTGGTGAACAGAAATAAGTTGAGTTTGGATATATTGAATTTGAGGAAACATTGAAGTAATCTGAATGGAGGCAGAGGGAAATATGAAACAATCCTTGAAAGGATCTTGCTGATTTACAGCTGAATTAATGCCTGCTGGAAAAACGTAGTACAGAAACTCAACAACATACCATTAATGTCTAGTATTCATTCAGAAATTATGAGACATGTGAAGAAGCAAGAATGTATAACCTATAACCTTGAGGAAAAAAATCAATTAGTATAAA